GCAGATAACTTGCAGTGTGGACCGTACATAACCCATATGCAGTTGGGTAATCTTACTTGTGACTTGCCTTGGTTCTATTTTGGAGCCTGCAGATCCTGTGAGACACCAACACATGGCCTTCTGCACCTGCAGAACAACCCAGAGCAATACTCCTCTGTCTTTTACAGATGAGAAATCTGACGTCAGAGAGTTCCTGAGACTTTCCCCAAGTTGTACAGCTGCCGAGTGGCAGAGGAAGGAGTTGCAATAGATCTGTAGTGAAGAGCAATAATCAAGCTGGTCGTCCCCACTTCTCTGTAGTTTGGCTTTCTGGTTGTGACCCACAGTTGCTCAAAATATTCCGTAGAAGACTCCAGCAATAAGCAATTCATACATTTTAAATTAAATGATGCTCTGAGTAGCATGATCAAATATTGCAGCATCCACCTCTGTCCCACCTGGAATGTGAATCAGCCCTTCACCTCGTCTAGCATACTCATGCTGTACGTGTTGGCCAGCTGCTAGTCACTGAGTAGCTGTCTCCTTATCAGATTGACTGCTGAAGTTCTACAGTGCTCATATATGGAGTTCAATACTAGATATGGTCTCAGACACCCACTGGAGGTCTTGGGGTGGATGCCCTGCAGCTACGAGGGGAGGGCTAATGGGTCTCTCTGTGAGGCAGAAAAGAAAGGAGGAAGGGGAGGGGACTAAATGCAGACACATTTCACAGCCTAGGCTGCCTGTGGGAGCTGGCAGGCTCCACGTTCTCATCCAGCAGTGCTCCACCATGTTCTGAGGAGTATTCAGAGATGCCCTGGGCTGCCCTCGATTTGCTTAAAAAGCGTTTACTAATGCAAACACTGGGAGGCTGTGTCAGTTCTCTGACAGCGTCTCTTCTGGAGACTTATTCTCTAAAGTTCTTGGGCACATGATCGTAATGGTTCTGGTATCTGCTCGCTTTTTCCCATGGTGCACTGCTTCCTTTGCCGTTTGTTGGCTTGAGATCTTACCTTCAGTGGGACTCTATCTGTAAGTCTAACACCAAAGAAGCAAGGTCAGATTAATCATTATGTGGTGACTGAAACGATAGTGAAAAGTGTCTCACAGAATCTGTGGGCTCCAAAATGGAACCAAGGCAAGTCACAAGTAAGATTACCCAACTGCGTATGGTTTATGTACTGCCTGGCTGTCTGATTTGAGTGACCTCCAATCTCATGGCTCTGGGCAGGATAAGACATCTACTTGTGCCAGTGAGCACCGCCATTGTTTTTCATATTTTTCTGAAATGTCCCTCTTTGAATTCTCTTGTCTTCGGCATTCATCAGTGGTCCAGTTCTTTTTCTTTCCATGTGCAGTCTCATGTCTAGTGCCTTGATGGGCTTCAAATCATCCTGGAAGATTTTCACAGGAGCTCTCATCTCAGCGACAGCCATGTTGGCTTGTATTGCATAACTCTTCCTATCCTTGGAGGCTGCTCATACCTTCATGTGAGGTTGGTCATGCATTGAAAGGGGCAATGTTTATACTTATCTTCCATTTTCAGATGTTTTAGTACATGAGAGTTTTCCAATGATCTTTTCTAAATTTTGCTGGAAATGATAGCCCTGTTTTTTTCTAAAAAAGAAATGTCATGCTCAAAAAACAGGGCTGAAAAACTAGTGTTCTTGTCCAATGAGAGCATTTTATGAATGAAAACAATCTTGATTCTTGAGATCAAAAGCTTCTGTTATGTTGAACCAATAACAGTACCTACATTTGACCTCTTTGCCTTCCAAAAGCAATTACACAGGGCTTATCTGAATACCAGAAGGCACAGTGACTCAGTTCAAAGGCTATCCAGGAGGGACGGGAGTGTAAGAATCATAACAAGAAAGGATTCTTAAAGTGGTCCATGGACCAGCTACCCTGAAATTATCCAGGATCGTGCAAAATTACAGATTCTCAGACCCCACTCCCCGATATTTTGATGAGAAGCCTGGAAATGAATGTATCTCTGCATATCTTCCCAGGTAATTCTGCTGCATAGCCCTATTTGGGACAATACTCCATGCAGAGAAGCTGTACTATCCACAGTCTTGATGGGGGACATCTTTCCTCTGCTCATGTACTTCTGGTGATAAGGATCTCAGGCACACATGACCCCCCGGTTGGTGGGCCTGATGTTCCTTCCTGTGCTGTGCTGGACGGTCCACTCCCAGTGCCCACTGCATGCCTCTAGGTCTCTTCAGTCCCTAGCGTAAGTCCTGGAGAGCCACCAGAGCCAGCTCATCCCTTTTTCTTACACTGACAATCACCTCGGCGCTGGCTGTTATGGTTTAGATCTATCGTGTTCCTTCCTAATGGCAGGGCTTTTGGAGGGTGGTTGGATTATGGGGGTGCTGCGCTTCGCGGATTCATTTACTCGTGAGCTCAGGAGCTGCGTGTGCTGTTGGGGGTGGGGCCTGGTCTGAAAAGTGGGTCGCTGTGTGGGACCTGGGCGGTTGCGTCTCACTCCCCAGCCTTTTCCTTCTCTCTTTGCTTCCCGGCCACTATATCAGTAGGCTTCTGCCACAGCAGGCCCTTCCACTACGGCACTTCTGAGTTTGAGCCAGCCAAGCATAGCCTGAAATTTCTGCAACTGTGAGCCAAATAAACATCATGTCCCAGGGCCTAGAAAGTCGCTAAGACACTGGCTTTGCGTTGTGATATGTGAAAAGAGGGAGGAGAAGGAGGAAGTCAGTACGGTGCTACACATGCGTGATTATTCTCAGCAAGGAGGGAAACAGGTTCTCTGAAGAGGGAAGCATGGGAAAGGGGAGGAGCTTATGGGCAGTTTAGAGCCAGAAATTAACTTTCCTGTGCAGGGAGCAGCAGATAAGACTCCCCAGAGGTGGCGGACTGAACTCGGGGGCAGGCAGGGAAGGCTGTCCAGCTTCTTCCGATTGGACCCGGTAAGGTTGGTAATAGCGAAAGTTCTTCTGATTCAGTTTCCACAGAGATTATTGTCGATACATTTCCTGGGCCCTGCTTTGAAAATTCCTTCCATCGGGTGCTGCCTGGGCCATCTATTCTCAATCCTGGCAAAACGTTTGACTGCAGAGGAAGAGAGGGTGGCAATGTGTCCAAAATCCCCTTGAACCTGGGGATTTTAGGGTACATGGTGGATGAAGCGAATGACATCTGGTATTGCCACATCCCATGGCCTTCATAGGCTGGGACAAGAAGAGCATAAACAAAAGCAGGACACTCCTACTGTGTCTGGTTAGCACGCCTCTCGTCTGACCAGATGAGCCAGATGTTTTAGGATTCAGATTCTGAGGATGGTTCTCAACAAGGTGGTGATAGAACTCTGTCCTTTGCTTCTGACTCTTATTCCTCTGAACTACTGGTTGGTGCCTTTGTTATTCTTGCCACAACTTCTGAGCAGAGCTGGCCACACACTTCTTCCTCTCTGTGCCTGGAAAGAAACCAGTGTATGTGTGTATGTGTGTGCAGGCACACACACATGTGTGTACACACAGTCATCTCACAGACCTTCTATATCACTTGTACTGAGAAGGTGTACAAGAGTGTTCGAATCTACCCTAAATGGTAGTGTCATTCCAGCACTCTGGGAGGCTGAAGCAGGAAGATTCAAAGTTCAAGCCCAGCCTGGGTAACTTAGTGACACCCTGGATCAAAATAAGAAAAAAAAATTTTTTTTTTTTCAAAATGGGTGAGGATGTAGCTCAGTGTGCAGGCCCTGGGTTTAATCTCTAGTGCCATAAAAATGAATAAATGAATAAATAACTTGAAAATGCTATGAGCTTTGAGATCTTCTGTCTGTTGGAACTGAATTTTCCGCTTTTTCTCTCTGCTGCTGGCTACTCACTCTCAGTTTTGCTGCTTCCAGAAGCAGCTTGTCCAAAATCACCTGTATTTGCTTTAAGTTTATTAGAGGTTCATGTGACACATGGTAAACAGTCTGAGGGAGTACATGGGTTCTCAGCAGCAATTTTGGCTTCCTAGAGGAGTCTTTTTTTTTTTTTTTTAACTCTGTGGATCAGTTGGTTACAGGTTAGTGAGGAGGGGCAGAGGTCAGCTTATAACAGGCGAACCTGCTTATACAACGGTTGAAGTGAACTTCCGTACACCGGAGGGGAGTTATTTGCACAACTATTGTCTTTGACCCTTTATGAAAGGAACCGCTTCAGGTTCTGTCAAGGAGGATTTTTCTTGATATACTTTGGGATTCGTTTACATATAATTACATATCTCTTTCATGAGTGTGTTTATAGGCGTTGAAAAAAATATAATGACCACTGCTGGAACATGCCTTCCAACAGAAACACAGGCTTGTGAGAGCTTACAGAGTGTCCTCACCCACCTTAGTAGCTGGATCTGGCACTGTGCAACTTTTTGCTCGTCCCAAAAGTCAAAGTGACCAGAGAAGGTGAGCATTTGGAATTGATTCAGGACACTGAGGCAGCCGTGACAGTGCAACTGAAGACACAAAAGAGGGCTTGCAGACCTGCTTCAGAAAGTGGTGAGAAGGATGCGATAAATGTATTGGAAGTGAGCAGGAGTATCTTGAGGGGGATTAAAGCAATATGTCTTTTACTGTAACACACTAAAAAAGTAAACATTCACTGTATCCTTTGATCATACTACCCTATGCACTGTGTGTGTGTGTGGGGTGAGGGATATAAACGGATCTCTATATATACACACATACAGAATTGGGGAGGAGAGAGAGACAGAGATAGAGAGAGGGAGAAGGAGAGAGAATTATAAGCAATTCTCCTTTTCTGGTTTTGTGTACAGTGTACCAATTTCTCTCGTATCTCTTTCCTTAACTCTGACTGTTGCTTTGAGCTGACTGGGAGCCTCACCCTTCCTAGTCTTGTATTTCTGAAGTCAGCAGAGACTTTTATTGGCCTTCCCCAACTGAATTCCCCAATTCTATACCTTAGAATCCTTAGCTACCAGATGTTTCCTCTGGAATCAGCGTTGTCACACTGTCACAATGGAAGCAATGTCACAATGGAAGCAATCTCCCGTGTGCCTGAGGAAGTCTGAGCTGCAGAAGTCTCAAACAAAGAGGCTGGTGTTGGGGGGAGTGCTTCATATTTAGCTTCAGACAGTTTTGTTTGGTCTGAAAAGTATCTTAAAATATGTGAAAGTAGCTGCCAACGTTTCAAGTGTGTGGGATTTTCCTACAAGCTCTGAATTTCTGGTTTCTCTTGAAAAGAAATGGAAGACCTGACCGTGCTGGACTGCGGCAATATTTTGCAGCAATAGAGCGGAGCTGAGTGGCAGATGCTGTTCAGGTCCCCGGTTTTCACTGGGCCATATGACTCAGGAGACCTCCTTGGGCACAAGCATTGAAGTCTGAACCTTTGCTTTATCTTCTTCGGCACCTGCTCTGTGGCACCTGCCTCATCTTTCCTGCCTGTGTCTTCTGTTGTCCCCTAGATCTGGACTGTTGACTTGTTCTTTCACCCCTTTGACTCCCAATATTGAGGTTCCAGTATCGTCTCTGGATAGCGCTATCCTTCCCCTGAGGAAACAGGATTTTGTTTCCGGTTTTCTCAGCATTTTCTGAAACCTTGCTATAAATGAACAGAAATTACAATCATCCCACGCAGCGGACTTTAAGTGCCACCTGTCAACTGGGCCCTGGCTACCTTCATACACTAATCACTCTGGATGATCGGGGGTTTTTTACTGTCAGAAAATAGAGCTGAACACAGTGGGCATTTTGGGTTATGCACATCCAATCATGGCTCTTGCCTTCGGGGAGGGGGAAGCTGTAGGTTTGAATCTGATCTCTGAAGTTCTCCGCCCCATCCACCTCAGTGTCTGCTGAAACCCCAGCACAGTTTGTCCTGAAATCTAGTAAGGTCAGGCAGAGGAAGGTCAGGATTCCTCAGGATCAGTGGAAGGTCATTAACATTCAGCATCCTGTAATTGTCACCCTCTTTCTGGATGATTTTGTTACTGTGGAATTCTGAGAAGGTACAAACCATGCAAGAATTCCCTTTCCTGGACTCCGCCCAGCTAATTAGACCTACTTTTAATCTAGTATTAGCGCAGAAGACAGTGCTGCACTGGTAAGTGAGCTTTCCTTTTCTCTTTCTTTTACTATAAAGTTTCCCCTATTGTTATTTTTCTTCCTTTGGGCAGGGGAGAATATCAGGAGGAGGACTAGGTGATCTGGGGCTTTGTGTATCATTTATTTCATTGATTGAGGCTTTTGATGGGGGAAGGAACGAAGGCAGAGAAAGTGATTTCTGAAAGTCTGGTTCACTTGGCGTCTGTCCTTGGGCGATACAAACCGCACATGATCAAGTTCTTTTTAGATAGAATATGATTGATACAAGGACAAACACAGATGAGTCACTTATTTTTGCAAGTTTATTAGTTGGATAGAGTTTGCTAGAGTTATAGCATCATAGTAGCTGAAAGTCGACTATGACTCATCCCTGGCTTTTGCCCAGAAAGAAAAAATCTATGTTCAGAGAGAGAGCTGGGTTTCTAGTCATTCATTCCTTCATTAATTACAGCAGTCAAATAGTCGCTGACACCCAATAGCTGGTATTTCAGGCTGATGGGAAACAAAGATAAAAGTTGCAGATGTTATTTTTAAAGACCTGGTCTTTAAAAGACCTCCCACCTTGGGAGGCTGATTGGGCACAGTAAGGATTTGATTGGTCAATGTAAGGATTTGTGGTCAGCCTGTCTGGATCAGACCCCAGTCCTGATCTTGAATATTTTTCTGGCTCCCTGCCTTTGGGAAACTGACTCAAGCTCTCCGTAGTCCTATATCCTTCATTTGTAGGATGGAAATAATAGCCTCCTTTGAGTATGTGTCATGGGCATTAAAGATAATTGGGGTAACTGACTGGCACATAGGGAGCTCAGCCACTATAGCTATTACCAAAGTAAGCAACCTCGGTGAAAAGTGGTGTGTGTGAGGAGGGTAAGGGCGGAACATCTCAAATAATTTTTGGTGGGGGGAGCTTGGAGGAAAGCTTCAAGAATGGGACAGAGAAAGCATTCCGAGCAGATCTGGGAGCACGGGGAGGAGGGAATGCTTGTTCAGGGTGATGAATGAAATGAGGGTGAGGAAGGGGAGAAGGGAGGGGAAGGGAAGAGAGGATGAGGAGGAGGAGGCAAAAACAAGATACCACAGGTGTTACCAATCCAGGGAGGACTTGTGGATGGCGTCCACTTGTTGATCTTGTTCCTGAAGGAGGACAGTGTCTTCCAGGAGATGAGGACCATTGGGAAGAAAGGCTGGAGGGAAGGCCAGAGGTGCAGGTCTGAGTGTACGGGGCTAGTGGTGATGTTAAACTTCTGAGTGGAGATATCCAGCAGGCAGTGGTGGCATCTGGACAGAGGAGGAGCCAGAGAATGTGAGACAGAGAGCTCACCTCCTGTGGTGGACAACTCAGACGTAAGGACAGGGCCTGAGGGAGGAAGGGGAAGAGTGGAGAGGGGAAAGGGCCCTTGATGGTGTCTTCAGGATCAGTGGAATTTAGGGGCTTGGCAGAGGAGCCTGTACCCAAAGAGAAGAAAGTGGAGATGATACTTAAACTAGAAAATGTTTTGTGGGTCCGTGATACTGAAAAGTGGGGCAACAGCAAAGCCGTAGGAGTGTCTGGAACCAGGGCATATACATGCGTCATCCTCCTTTCCCCTTCTCTTTTCCTTTCCTTTCTTGCCTTTTTTCTTACCTGCCTCCTCTTCTTTCTTCTCTTCCTCTTTGTTTTGCTCCTTCTCTCTTTTCTCATCTCTCTCTCTCTCCTGGAGCCTCCTTCTCTTCTCCTCCTTCCTTCTCTCTTCCCTTTCTCCCTTCCTCCCTGTCTTCTCCCCTGGCTTCGTTCTTCCTCAGCTTCCCTGTGCTGCCTACATAACTTGGGAAGGTTTTCCCATAGGGTGGCAAAGATGGCTGCTGCCAGCCTCCCATTTAGCAGGGAGCATAGGATCCATGGACCTCATCAACAGACTCAGGTTGTTTCAATTTTCATTTCTCGGATGACCAATGACGTTGAACATTTTTTCACATATTTATTTGCCATTTGTAATTCTTCACCTGAGAAGTGTGTATTCATCTCAGATGCCCATTTTTGGACTGGGTCTTTGAATTTTGGGGGTCTGATTTTTAAAAAATTCTTTATATAGTCTAGATAGAAGTCCTTTGTCTGGGGGACAGTTGGATACATTTTTTCCCAATTTGCGGATTTTCTTTTCACTCTGTGGCTCTTTAAAAAAAAGTCTCAGGCCGGGGATATGCAGATAGAGTGCAGCGGCACAAGCACCTGCCCAGCAAGTGCAAGGTCCTGAGTTCGATTCCTGATACCAAAAAATAAGAAGTCTCAGGTTAATTCCTGCATCATTCACAGCTATGTGACTGGTCAGTGGGGCAGGAGAACTGTGTTAAGTATTAGGCAATCCTGGATTACGTACCATCCAACCAGCAGGCTCAAAACGACTGAGAAATAATTGTTTTAAAGGTGAGGGTGAAAAATAGCACTGGGTCAGCTGAAACACATTTCTTTTTAGAATCTAGGAAAGGATATAATCTTAAAATGAAAAGTTGCCTGAAGTTAGCAGTTTGCAAACCTGAAAGCAATCTTCTTTGTTTGTTCATCTTGCCCCAGAAAATTAACAACATCCTCTTGGGTAAATCTCTGTCGACTGGGGCTCGGGGACCCAAGAGCAAGGAGAAGACTCGGTTTCTTCCCATCATTTTTCTATTTTCATAAAAAAATCCCCAAGTTCTACACTGTTGTGGAACAAACATAGCTGTGACTCATGTCTCACAATTTCCGTAGTCTGCTCCACACACTTTTGACAGCTCTATCGTGTTTTAGATGCTGTGAAATATTTGTTTTCCTCTGTGAAGCTGGGTTGGCGAAAACCTTCTTGCTTCGTGATTACTGAGATTCCCTGTCAGGGTTTCTCGGCTTCAGCCCTATTGACAGGAACATTGACAGGCTATTGAGCAGATAATTCTTGTCACAGGGCTGTCTTGTGTGCTCTCCTTTTCCTCCTCATCTTTATCATCTCTCTTTTCCCTTCTCTTTATTCTTCCCCTCCTTCCCTTTTCCTCTCTTTTTCCTTTTCATCTTCCTTCCTTCCTCCCTTCCTTTCTTCTTTCTTTCCCTTCCCCTCTCCTCCCCTCCCCTCTCCCCTCCTTCTCTCCTTCCCTCCTTTGATGCAAGTTGGACCTTCAGCAGGGTCCTGGCTTCTATCCTCTATGCCGGTACAAGCACCCTCCCTTGTGACAATAATAAGCATCTCCAGACATTGACAATTGTCCTCTGGAGAGAAAAAATCTTTCTGGTTGAGAGCCAGTCTTCTACTGTTTGGTTTCTAGCGAGGTAACGTGCTAGGGAAAGGATCTATGGTAACCGGAAGGGATTGAAGGATAGGGATAAACTACAAAAGAAGGGCTCTTCTGCCGCTTTGCATCGTGTGACCTTGACAAGGTGCAGTTGAGGAACACCTGCCACAATCCCTGACTTGTCTTATCACCTAATCTCAGGAGAAGGAAAACAGGAGGGGGGGGCGCTCACCCAGCAGTAGGATAATTAAAATCTGATTTTAAAATGAGAGCTTGTGATATAATAGAAGCCAGTTGGAGCTCTTCAGCCAGAGAATGGAGTAAGTTTACTGCCTATAAATAGCACAATTGGCAGCTAAACTCTGAAAAACATTCAACATGCCAGTGTCAGAGGAAGATATGTCCAATGCTTTCGATGCTGAAAATAAATACTGTGAGTGGAAAATAAATGGCATTATTAGCATAAAGGGAGTCCCTAATTAACCAGCAATAGCCCATTACTGTAGCCTTCAATTCATTAAATTGCATAATTACATAAAAACTCAGTTGACGCTTGATTCAGTCAGTGTATCTGGTATTGTCTCCTCAGTAATTAGTTCTATAATTGTCAGTTTGACAGGGCAATTAAAAATGTTTGAAGACATTGTGTCAGCTTCCCTATGCGAAGCTGCACTCGGCAGGATGCGTCTCAGAGAAAACTTCCATCCGGGAGGCTGGGTGGACTCAGTTCCTGGGGTGAAGAGGAGGCAGGGTGGGTCCTGCAGGGTCAGAAAGAAAATAGTCTGCGGCTTCCTGGGGGAAATTATTCTCTCTGGGTGAGCTGGGTGTGCTGCGATTTAAATGTGCCTCCGCAAGGATGCATCAAAATTTCACCTCTAGTGCAGCGGTATGAAGAGGTTGGAGCTTCCAGAGACGATTCGGCCATGAGGTCTCTGCCTCCGCTGGTGGGTTCACGCCCGTTCCAAAAGGGCTCGGGGCTGCCTCTTCCATCTCTCACTCTCGTGCTCTCTCTTTCCCTTGCAGCACAGGGCGGCTCAGTAAGGAGATGCTCACCTCAGACACGGGATTCGATATCGGACTTTGCAGCTTTCAGAGCTATGAGAAATCCACTTATTTTCTTTAAGACTTACCCAGTCTGAGATTAACTTGGTGGCACATGCTTGTAATCCCAGACTTTAGGAAGTTGAGGCAGGAGGATCACAAGTTTGAACCCAGCCTGGGCAACTAAAGGAGATTCTGTTTTGAAGTAAAAATTCTAAAAAAGGCTCAGTGTAAAAGTCCTGGGCTTAATCTTTAGTAGTGTGCGTGCGCGCACGCGCGCGCACACACACACACACACACACACACACTCACACACACACACACACACACACATATACGCACACTACCCAGTGGGTGGCATCCTGGGTACCACCCCAAACAGAGTAACACTGTATTTTCCTGGAGCGGTCTTAGATGTAACTGCTGGAATGTGGAAGACGTGGAGAGGAAAGCATAGAGCCGTGTGTAAATGAGCATGGAAAGCTCTGACACTGCGCAGGTATCAGTGGTCAGAGTGAGGACTACGACCTGAGGTGCCCAGCATCAGGCTGGGGTCTGAAATCATCCTGTCGTGGAATCCATTCGGGTGTATTTTAGGATTACATAGCGCGGGACTGATTCTACTCCTCCTTCTGGCAGTCATCTCAGTGTTCAGGATCCTTCACAGGGCCAGAGAAATCAGACCCATGACCCGTGACCATGAGACTGATTCTACTCCTCCTTCTCCAGACAGGCCTGGGCTGTGCATGACCTTGTTCCTGGTAGGAACTGATGTAGGGAGGAGTCTTCTTGATAGAGAGATCCTGAGGCTTTGCTGGGAGCACTGACATCATCTGGTTATGCTGAACTCTATGTAGATAGTACCTGATTATTCCCATCTGCCTAGAACTAAGAGAGCTCAGCATAAGGATGAATCAGCTCTCCAAGTGGAGGACCAGAAATGTGTGTCTTGCTCTCACATTTCCTTTACTCTGAAGCCTGCTTCTTGCTTGGATATCAAAAGTTGAGGAGGAAGGTGAGCTTTTCCCTCTTAGAGGCAGTAGCCGATGGACATGTTGGTCAGATAGAAAAGCAAACTAAAAGGGAAAGGCTGGTTCAATGGAACATTCTACATGGGAGAAGGATGTTCAGTTAAATACTTTATTTCCTTGAACCATGAGCCAACAAATCTATAATCACTTAGTAGCCTACTGTGTTAGTCAGATTTCTGTGGCCGTGACACCATACTGAAAAACAGCAGCTTCAAGAACGAAAGCCTTAGGTTTGACTTGTGGATTCAATCTATTATCATCTGGTTCCACTGCTTTTAGGGCCATGGCAAGGCAGACATATCCGGGCAGAAGGGTATGGCAATGGAAATCTGCTCATCTCATGGAAGGTAGGAAAGGTAGGGGAAGGGGAAAGGGCCAGGTACAAGGTCACTTCTCCATGGGTCACACCCTTCAAGTAAACCCCAGCTCTTAAATTGCCCTTACCATTCAATAATGTCACCAAATTATGAATCTATTAATGGATGACTACACTGATAAAGTTAGAGCCCCATGATCCAATCACTTTCTAAATCCCTCACCTCTGAACACATGAGACTTTTGGGGGACACTTTTGATACAAACCATAATGCCCATTTTCTTCTTAGAATATCTGTGTGTGTGTGTGCATGTGTGTGTGTGTGTGTGAGAGAGAGAGAGAGAGAGAGAGAGAGAGAGAGAGAGAGACAGAAACAGTGACAGAGAGACAGAGAGACAGAGACAGAGAGAGACAGAGAGAGAGGAAGCTGAAAATTTCTATTTATATTTTACTCTTCTCTTATGACTAACCTGGAAAAGAAGAAAATATGGTCTTAACTAGGACCATGACCAACTAGATGCATTGCTGTCCTTGCCTTTTGAAGGAATCTTCTCCAGTCTTGACCAGTGGCTCTAAATACATGTCAGTGAGATGGATGTTCATGTGCTGTGTTAGTTAAGATGTTCCCCAGAAGAACAGAATCAGTAGGAAAGGTGTGTAATCCAGCAGCTGCTCCCCTTGAAGATGGAAGCCACAGAACAAGAAGGACCACGAAGGCAGCACCACCAGTTCAGATCAAAAGCCTGGGAGCTCACTCATATTCTAGCATGAATACGCAACAGAAGGCTGAAAAAACTGGAGATCTGCACACTTATGTCCAATGGAGTGGCAGCAGAAGACCCACCTATCAGGAAGATTGGAGTGTTTAAAAACATTTCCTTCTTCTTTCCCTTAGTATTCCGTCCAGGCTACTAGCCTTTTGTCTGTTCCACCTACAACCAAGAGTGTACCTTCCCACTCAGCTTGCGGCCTACATAGAAATCATCCTGAACTGTGCTTTACTAATCTGCTTGGTGATTCTTAACCCATTCAATTTGACTAATGGTTGTGATTCATGGTCACAGGTACTCCATCACTTTGTCTCAAGAAGTCAGTCCGTGAGACCTATAGAGCAGATCTCTATGTATGTGAGATGGAGAAAAGCTAGGAGTCCATGGGGACAGGTTACAAAGTGAAGGGGGGTTTTGGTAGAAAATCACCTTCAGCTCACATTTTATGCACTGGTTCAATTGGCTGGGCTGCTTGGGATTTGGTCTTGATGTATCCCTTAATCATCCAATACTGGAAATCCACAATATCCTCATTTTGATATTGGAACTAATTCATTCTTTCTCTAAAAGATTTTTGAATGCTCCTCTGTGTCAGGCACTGTTTCAGGTGCTTGTGAGATATCAGTGAATCCAGAAAACATATCTCTATTTTTTAAAGAATGATATTCTTATCTGAGGAGGTAGATGATGAGCAATAAATGTAATAAATAAGTAAATGAGGTGTTAGGTCAAAATGGAGCAGATTAAAGGAGGTGGGTGGAGTGCATTTTAAACAGAGTGATTAAGGTGACATTTTAGCAAATAAAAGCCAGGGAGCCTCAGTCTGGGAGTATATTTGAGACACAAGGAGGAGGTCATGTGGCTAAGTAGGGTAAGGAGGAAACACTCATAGATAAGGTCAGACAGGTAACAGGGAACTTGAATGTACAAGGATACGTAGGCCAAGATAAGGAATTTGGGTTTTACAGTAAGTGTAATCAGGAACCACTGAAATGTTGCAGGTGGGGAGGAGATGGGGCACAACTTGTGTCTTAAGTTGATCTGCCCACTGCATTCATCAAAAGTCACCAAAGTTTATAGGCAAAATCAAGGAGACCATGAGTAGAGAATTAAAATAACCCAAGCAAGAGGCCTCGGATGACTTGGGCCAGGTCTGATAACAGCACCCACATTACAGATTTGTGCAGTAAATGAGATCATGTATGAACGAACTTGGAGTGCTGTCCCGTATATTGTCAGCAGTCAACAAATTGCAACTATTAGAACTTAAAAGTGACCCAAGGTCAAGAGTGGGCCTTGTGGAGCCCTAAGATTTATCAGAGTCTTAACTCTTTCAATTTTGAAAAGTTTTACAGGTTATTATTCTACTGTTTCTTAAGGCAGAACTAATGTCTTCTATATCTGTACAAATTATGCTCAGCTGACTATTAACACAGTTTCTCTGGAAAGGGTTCTACTATACTCCTAAAATAACAGAATGGTCCAATTATAATATATTAGTAATATAAAATGCTCTCAATATTTCTTTATTTTATTATAGCTAAAAGTCTACATTTCTTTTTTCCAGAGAAGAATAAGTGAAACAAAAAATTGCACAAAATTTTTCCTAACCCTATAACTTTATTTTTCTTTGTCACAGGTAAAAGTGCTTCACTGGAGGAGCCTATAGGATTATGATCCTTATTCCAGGTAGCTGGAATCTGTACTCTCAGCTCTTGAACTGATATTGGTACATTGGCCTCTCAAAGTTAAATACTCCAAAACCCATGCTTCTAATATATCCTGTTATTTCAAAGTTGTAGAACTATTGGGGTCATAGGGCAAACACAAATTTCCTTATACAATAGCACCTTTTTTGCAGAAACAAAGGAAGATAGTTCTGTATAGACTCCAAATGATTCTTTCAATCTCCAAGTGATTATTGCAGCTGGCCATAGATGATAAAATATCTCATTTTTATTAGACAAGAGCAAATATATAAGGAAAGCAGAGTAAATACAAAGAGGGTGACATTTCAGTTTCAGTAAATTCAGCCCAATTGCCCAGAGTTGTCTGCAGCCCTATGAACTTGAACTCCATCAAATAACTCCAGTAAAAAAGGTTGACTGCAACACCATTCTTCTCACATTCCAGAGAAAGTTTTCACTCAATTGTCTTTTCTACCAAAATGTATAAATCATATCCCCCTAAGATGAAATGAGATAACCTATGTATGAGCTTATCAAAGTGACTGATAAACGAGTAAGTGCTCAGTAAATATTAGCTTTAAGTTAGTTACAATTCTAGCTGGATTTGGAAATGTGCCATGGGGATGCCTCCAATTCTACATTTTTCCTTTGATTCCTGTTTCTCATACTGTACATTTAAAAGTATATATTTAGAAATGCTCTAATACCGTGCCTTCTGAACTCACGGCATCTCATGCCAAGAAACACACGGGCTCTGTCCAAGGTCCTAAACTCCAGGTTTCAGAAATATCAATACTTCCCATACCAACCGCCTTGGATTTCTTGAAAGCCAAATTTCCCCATCACGTATTTCACCTTACACTATTTCCTCCTTTAGCTTCTCAATATCTTGGGCTTTGGGCAGTGCTCTTCATCTACATGAGAGCGTAAATGCCTCTTGAAGTGGTGGTTCATCCTATCGCAGTGAGGTTTTTCTAGGCTTCCTCTAACGTTCCATTTTCACATCCCTCTGGAATTCTCCTGTTTCTTTCATGTGAATCCTGTCAGAATTTCAAGCTAAAACCCGCCTCTCCAATTGGCCCCGTGCTTTCTCGCCCACATGCAGGGATTGGGCTGTTCATAAGAGCCTATTAGACTGCCTCATCTCCTCTCCCTTTTATTTCTCTCTCCCACTGTTTCTCTTCTAACTACAAGCTAAAACCTTGCATTAAAAAATCTCTCCCATGTATTAGAAGATCTTCCTTTTAGGCCCCAACTGCTGTTTTGGTTTCACTGCTGATATTGAAGGCTTCTTCCCTGCTAACAATTTTTCTTTGGGTCCTTAGTCACACCTGTCTTTGGCAGCGATACTGGTACAAGCATTGGCCTTTTAATTTCTGTTTTATGTCCTTGTTACAGCTCTGATGAAACTTTAACAATAATCAAAAACACAATACTAGGATACCATATGTTGCCTGTCATAAGCCAAGCACTGTGTTAAGCCCTTTACACTAGATAGGATTGGCCCCCCTAGTTTACAAATGTTGACATAGAGATTCAATCCAATAAATAAAATATCATCTCCACAACAATATCCCCCCATCCTTCTTCATCCACTTATTTATGAAATCTTTCACCAGAAGTGCCCAGAAGCCACCCTGGTAAAGTGGTGCATATAACCCAAGTACCATGAATGGGGGTAAGTAGTGTTCTAGCTCCTCAGATGTGAATAAGAAGAATAATAAGAACCTGAACTTGGATTCCACATTCCACCCCAAACCCCTGGCTCCTATCCACAGTCCAAAAAGTTCTGGCTGGATTCAAAGAAACCTGACCCAGCCTTAGAGAGGAATACAGATCACCACAGAGTAGGCAGATGACCGGGATCAAGATCTTCCTTGGATCAAGATCTTCCCTGGATCAAGATCTAGGCCCTCTCTCTGAAAGCAACTTTGTTTAGAGCACAGCTGTGAGCCCTAAGCTATCCCTCCCAACTGTTGAAATACCCCAGATGTTAGTGAGATACAGATGGAGGGAGATCTTGGCAGAGATTCAGAATGGCCTGTTCTAATCTGCTGTCTCTTATGGATGATGACACCCCTGCTAAGTCCTTGAGTGCATGGTCTATATTTCATGGGACCATGTACTGGCCACCTAGTGAACTGGACTGGGTGGTGCAACTAGTAGTAATAGGGCCTCTGATAGCAGTCAGGGCTGTCTGACTCTTGCCCTTACAATCATATTGCCCCTCAGATGGGACCCTGAGAGATCATTGCACATGGGACAATAGCAGCAGCAGACAAAGCACCGCTTTGCTGTTAGTGAGCTTCATGGGCAATGCCCGGAGGGAGAATCTCAGGACAAGCTGGAATCACAGAGAAGGTAGCATACCCTAAATAACCATGAGACCCTCTGCTGTTTCCCAAGCCAGACCCCAACTGGGCCCAAAGCTTGAAAGGAGTGCACCATAACATGTACATGGGGGAAGATGAAGGTAGAGCACTCACCCCATGGGTGCACAAGGCAGGGGAGAGGGCAGAAACACCCAGCACTGGTTTTCAAACTTAGTGGTGCATGAGGATTGGCTTGGGAAGGTAAGAAAACACAGATGCCAAGAGATAGTTGAGAACTACTGAGTTAAAATCTTTATTTTTAAAATCTGCCTTGGCAAATTATTAGGTTGCATGGTGAAGTCTGAGAACAACTGAAGTCTAAGTCTTGCACAGTTCACTCAGTCCCATTTGGTCCGGGGATTGGATCCAGTGCAATTGGCAGAGCCCCCGACCAGCGTGAGATTAAGATATGGGTGGAGAAAAGGTGTTCTCTTCTACTTGCTTCAGGTGCAAGATTTAAGGACCCTTTTTTCTAAGTTAGCAGCCTTCTATGGCCTCTGTTACTGGTCTGACCTATCTTTCCTTTGAACTGCTATGAAAAGCTCTTCTGCAAATTCCTGGTTTAGAGGAATTCAGGTTCATAAGTAGAAAAAAGGGAGACCTTTTAGGGCAACAAAAGAATAGTTTTAAAGGCAGGCCTCTGAAAGGAAGAGATTTTAAGTTACTTGATCATTCAACTAGACACCCACCCCGTATTACCAGGTGCAAGAGTGTCTTTGGCCCTCACTGGTGATCTGAGCCACAACAACTGGCTTCTGGCTTTCCTAACATATGCTAAGTTAGGGGAGGGGAGACATCTGGCCTGTTGCTTCCTCTGCCATCTCTAGTATTCTTAGTTAATGCTCAGTAAATACCAGTTGAATCCCTCCATGGGTGTGTGAATGAGTAAACTGGAAAGAATCGCTGAGTGGCACACATAATGTCATCTTGAAACCCAGAATTTTGTGACCATGGGCAACTCACTGATCATCTCTGCTCTCAGTTTATTCATCTAGAAGTAGAAATAACAGTAGTACTCACTTCATAGCATGGTTCTGAAGGTCAAATTCATTATTCCAAGTGTGGTCTTTGGAACAGTACCTGGTTAGCTAATATTCATTGGCTATTATTGTACCACTGTCATTTTTTGTTGTTTTTTCCAGTACCAGGAATCAAACTCACTGCCTTGTGCTTGCTAGGCAGGCGCTGTGCCGCTGAGCTAAATCCCCAGCCCTATACCACTGTCATTTAAATTAAACCAAGATTGAAAGGATTCATATAAGGTTACTGATTCAGTTTTGCCAAATATGTCATTAAGAATACACAGGAGCTATCAGTTATTATCAATAATTCATACAGAAAGGCCATCCTCACATGAAAAGGAAGAAAGGCATAATGTCAGACCAAGGGTCATTCTTTTATGTTTTTAATAAACTTAACTCTATGAAAAATTCTCTGCAGTGTATTCATTTTTAAAAACACATCTTGAGGACTAATGGAAGCATTTTCACAGCAGTATGCATGGTTTTTTCTCTCTCTGAACCATTGTACTGAGATCACTGTCTCTGAAAGGACTGGCATAAGATTGATGCTCATGACCAGGAAGACTTGGCATATCTCTGTTCCAAATAGGCACTGGGTTCTTAAGAAGAAATAGGGACCACGTGGCCCTGGCTATAGCTTGGCAGGACATATGTTCATCACTGTTGCTCCTGGAAGATTGTGTACAGACTTCTCAACACATCGGAGAGAGTTCTGTCACTTAGTGTGGCAGCATTGACAGTAAGGCTTACTTTTGTGGGATTATCAGTGAGAATACTGTAGAACTCCCCAGATTTTTCTGGAAGTCTAAAAGTAAGCAGGAACTCTGAAAATTAGATGGAGGTACAAGTTGCAGTGTCATATTTAAGGAGATAATCTATGTGCCTGGGGGTGGAGGGTAGAGGAAAACCATTCTCCTACCCTAGTGTCCTTTCCCAGTGAATGACTCATCAGACCTCATCACCTACACCAGAGAGGTAGGAATTATGTCCTTGCTTCTCTGTCCTTTCACCTTCAGTGACCGAGTGTAGCTGCTTATTCTTCTCAATATCTCTAATATCTGATTCTTCCCAGCACAGCTACTGCAATGGTCTTAGCATTAGTCTCTTTTCCTGCGACTTTCTTCTCTTCTTTCCTCCGAATTTATTCCAGTATATGAAAACCACTAATAATAAACTATCTGAAAACAGTTAAGAAATCAATCTCATTTACAGTAACATAAAAATATTTAGGAGTGATTTTAACCAAGAAGGTATATTGAAAACTATAAAACGCTGATGAAAGAAATCAGAGAAAATAAAATATGTGAAAGCACATCCCAGGCTCAATGGGTTGCTTGACTGATTAATCCATGCACCCATCCACCCATTCACATTTATGCAGAGTACATAGACAACATGAATGATTTTTCTAAAGCACAGATTTGAGCTCATCATACTTCTTTATATCCTAAAAACCTTTACTCATGTACAGAAAAAAAAAAGTCATTAACAACAGAATGTGTAGCTATTATTTAATGAAACAATAAATTAATAGATTTTAAAATCAAGGTTATTGATACAATTTGGGTATATATAATGATCATATTCATCACAGGGAATTTGTACCTGTATACGATATACTTTGATTCCTCTTTTTTCTCCAGTCCCTTCCCCTCCCTTCAACCCCTCTTATTATTTACTAAGCTTAGTTTTGATTTTATCCTTCTTTTATCTTTTCCTTTTTCCTTCCTTCCTTTCCCCTTTCCCCCTCCCTAGGTCCTCTTTCCTTTTGACAGTTTCTTACTATTTCATGATATCTATCGTACATTTTAGTCTTTATTTACTCTTTCAGTTTCTCACACCAAGGAGACAATGCGATATGTACACATATTTAGTTTAGGATGATATGGTCTTTGTGCCTATTTTGTGAATGTGGAAATTGTATCTCAGAGATGTTAAATAATGCGCTCAGGTCAGGGCGTCAGGAATCGGTAGAAACCTGAATTTCACCTCCTCTTGACCCCTCACTACCCTGTCTCTCTCATAACCATTTTGGAGATGTCAAGAGAGACATGAAATATGCCCGTGGAATGAAGGGAAGGTGTGATAAATAGAAGGCTTCAGAGGAACTCGGTCTGAGGTGAGAGCTGAGGGATGCCCAGGTATTAAGGAGTGGAGATTCTAGCTGGCAAGAACAACACGGGCGAGGGCACTGAGGCCTGAATCTACAGTACAGACCATCCCTTGTGAAATACAATACATGAAGCATCTACAGAACAAAGAATTCCCGGAAGACTCTAGAAGATAATCACTCAGCACACACGTGTATAAATACATGGATGCGCATATGTACAGCTATGATTTTAATTGGATTGGAGTGTGCTGCAGTGCATTTGCGCGGTCTGCATGTCACAGCGCAGAAGCTACAGGGTGGAATGAACTGCTGTGGGTGCTGATGTGTGGGCCCTGTGGTTAGGCAAGGGTTTGAACAGTTCCTTGATGTTTACAAGTTTTGATGAGAAGCACTTGGCT